AAGACACATTAACAGTTGGTCATTTTTTTTTCATTCTCTAATATAAAACAAGAAATCTGGATGCAATAAGTGACAGCGATACTTTTAGCATAGGTTCATTTATGTGTGATACATTTGTGTGCACACAGAATAGCTAGAGCAGCCCATTCATTTGAATATGCTGTTCTACCAGAAAGAAATGCACAAGAAAAAGTCCCTGCACTTTTTTTTTTAATTGCAACAAACAGAGTTGCATTGAACAGCAGCACCATGCAATATGGTATATGGAAATGTGAATTTTCCGATGCATGGGGGTGCCATTAAGAATTAATGGCAACCCTGCTTGCACACTAAAGAGCAGCACGTTTTCTGAGTGTTGCTGACCTGCACAAGAACCTAGGCTTAATTCTTTTTTTTTTTTTTTTTTGCACCACTTTTTATAAATCAGTTTTAGTTTCTGTAGCATGTTTTAACATATAGGTAACAGAAAAGTAACAAAGACTGACAGTGTTGTGGCATGGAAGCTATCAGCCTGTGGCACTGCTGAGGTGTTATGGAAGACCAGGATGCTTCAATAGCAGCCTTCAGCTCTTCTGCATTGTTCGGTCTCATGTCTCTCATCTTTCTCTTAGCAATGCCCCATAGATTCTCTATGAGGTTCAGTTCAGGCAAGTTTGCTGGCCAATCAAGCACAGTAGTCCCACGGTCATTTAACCAGGTTTTGGTGCTTTTGGCAGTGTGAAAATGAAGTCAGCATCCCCATAAAGCTCGTCTGCGGAAGGAAACATGAAGTGCTCCAAAATCTCCTGGTAGACGGCTATTGACCCTGGACTTAATGAAGCACAGGGAATCAACACCAGCAGATGACATGGCTCCCCAAATCAACATAGACTATGGAAACTTCACACTGGACTTCAAGCATCTTGCAGTGTGTGCCTCTCCATTCTTCCTCCATACTCTGGGTCCTTGGTTTTCAAATGAGATGCAAAAGTTGGTCTCTCATCAGAAAAGAGGACTTTGAACCACTGAGCAACACACCAAGGTCTGTTTTTCTTTATCCCAGGTAAGTCCCTTCTGACGTTGTTTATTGTTCAGGAGCGACTTGACAAGAGGAATATGACATTTGAAGCCCATGTCCAGGATCCGTCTGTTTGAGATGGCTCTTGATGCACTGATTCCAGCCTCAGCCCACTCCTTGTGAAAGTCCCCAACACTTTTGAATGGCCTTTTCCTGACAATCCTCTCCAGGCTGCGGTCATCCCTGCTGCTTGTGCACCTTTTTCTTCCACAATTTTCCCTTCCACATAACTTTCTATTAATGTGCTTTGATGCAGCACTTTGGGAACATCCAACTTCTTTTGCAATTATCTTTTGAGGCTTTCCCTCCTTATGCAGGGTGTCAATGAAGGTTTTCTGCACAACTGTCAGGCCAGCAGTCTTTCCCATGATTGTGATTCCTACTGAACCAGACTGAGAGACCATTTAAAGGCTCAGGAACCCTTTGCAGGTGTTATGGCTTAACTAGCTGATTAGAGTGGGACACTTTGAGCCTAGAATATTGCACCTTTTCACAATATTCTAATTTTCTGAGATTGTGGATTTGGGGTTTTCATGAGCTGTAAGCCATAATCATCACAATTATGACAAATCACCGCTTGAACTATCTTGCTTTGCATGTAATGAGTCTATCTCATATATTAGTTTCACCTTTTAAGTTGCATTACTGAAATAAATTAACTTTTGCACAATATTCCAATTTTTTTGAGTTTCACCTGTATACAACAGTCAAATAAGCTGGCAACTCAAAAGGTTAAAATCCAGTCTTCTTTTTTGAAAATGATGTTGGGGATAAAATCCAGGAACAAGATATTTGACATACTGTAGCTTATTCAGACCTTAGTCATATGAAACAGATATTGAAATCTCATGACTGGGTCCCCCTACATAAGTCAGCAAAAAACATTAGCCTGTTGACTTCTACTCAAAATTTACATTTTGGACTTTTGGACATTTATTTAATCATTTAACATAATTTTATGCTCACCTGTCATGACAGAAATATACAGGCTGCTTTAATTGGATTCTTTCTAAAGTTGATACCTGGCTATGTCTGATTTCTAATCTCATGCATGCATGCAGTACAGTTTATTCAGCAGGTTTACAGACACCACAGGCTTATTTTAAAGCTGAACGTCTGCCTTCCCTTTAGTCTCACACAATTGGACAGGATCCTCATTTGTACTGAAATTGTTATTTTAATTTTATTGTACAGTGTGAGCTTCCACCCGTGTGCGTAAAATAGCCTGCCTCATTTCCTGGCTGGGAAAACATCCAGCACCACCTAGCCTTTTCCTATCTAGCATGGTTGTCCCTGGTCCATCCTTTTTATTCATTGGATTTGACATTAATTGGCTCACATTTTGGCATTACCTAAGGAAGTCTGCATGCAGACTGACTGTCACCCAGCAAGGCATTTTTTTTTATATTTTCATAACTCCTCTCAAGAAGCAGCCCACTGCTTGAATTGGGTCTGAGGGCTCTTGAGAGGATATGTGATGATGTTTTTCAGGAAGCTACATACAGCCCCCTGCCAACCTCTCTTACCAGCCACAATCTGCTTGTATTGCATAGAAAACCACAAAGCCCCAGTAATAATATAACTGGGTATGAAATAAGAGATATATTGTGCTTTAGGACCTTTTCAAACTGATGTTCTTTTGCTGCATTAGAACTCACCTTTCCAGCACAACAAAAGCACTTCCAAATTATTCACTTGTAAATCCCATGTAAATTTTTACATTGCTGCCTACGTTTGTGATGTGTTTTGAAAAGTCTAGTGTGCTGCATCTTTGGTGTGTTTTTCAAAAGTGCACCAAAACACACCTTCCATTTTAAGTCAATGGAAAAGCACTAAAAATGCACCATTTTGGGGTCACTTGACATTTAAAAAAAATGCTGTTGCTAAGGAGGCAGCATCTGCCAGCATCCTTAACAACCAGAGAATAGCTCTCTCCTCAGTGTCTGGCAGGTATTTCCCCACCACCTCTTCTCCACTCACATTCATAAAGCCGTCTGAGCTGGAACAGTTCCTGGCTGTCCCTCCCAGTCTTCTCTGCTCTTCCCCCCTCCACAGTGATTGGTGTGATATCCAGAGGGTGAGTAGTGGTAGTAATGGTAGGCTGCACTCTGTGCCCCTCTGCCTGACTGCTTTCTGCACCGACGGGCAGGACCAACTTTTCCACATGAAGAGATTGATCAGAGAGGAGCTGGTGACCACCATGGAGGTACAGGAGGGCATTGTATGTGTATCTATTCACTGTTCTTAAACATGCCAGTGGGTACCGACTCCTAACTAGCCACAAAAATGTATGCAAAAATACATGTAAACCACATGTGCTTTCAGTTAAAATTTAGTGCAATGCATTTAAAAGTGATATGTGTGAGACTGCAGAGAGCATGGATGGGTTTGGCCAGGAAGAATTTGAAAAGTGGCTGTGCAATCTAGAAATAGCTTTAGCGACTGGTTAATAAAAGAATAGGTGGAACTTGAAGAATGGAAGTGGCGGAAACTATAATATAAGTGTGCAAAGGTGAAGTAACACTTTAAATATTGGTTTACCCAAAATAGCTTTCAATGAAATGTGTGAAAATTTATACAATTATACACAAAAAACACATATATGTAGAATAAACTGTGATATAGCACTGAGCAGTGTTTCCTATACACAGATATGCAATAATCCTATATAGATGAGTAACTGTCTACCAGTGCCAGAACCTCTAGCACCCAAAATGAAAATGCTACAGTTTGCACAGCATCAAGTCAGAGCACACAAAATTAGTGCTTTGAATCAGAGAATATAACTATCTCCCAGATTGAAAGGGGTAGACATGGAAATGTCCATCCTCAATCAAAACTGAAAACCAAAGATGCATGACGATTGACTTTGTAAAGACTCAGCTGCTCACCATTCAATCAGCTGTCTATCTATCTCATATTCAAAATGATCTTTCTGTGCTAAAAAAGTTAATTGCCTTTGCCGGTGACCTCATCACCAGCCAGCGTGTGCATTCAATTAGCTGCCGTCCCATCTCATATTCAGAACTGTCTTTCTGTACTAAAACATCCAATTACCTCTACCAGTGACCTCATCACCGGAGAGTGCGTACTTGAATTTCTGTGCTAGTGATACTTATTATTAAGCTGCTTCTATTCTCTGGAGTTCCCTTTGCAAAGCCCACATCCTAACAAAAGCTATGACTATAAATGTTACAATCTGATTGTACAATTTACTTTGGATCTACAGACTACATTGTGTAAGAATATCATTTACCAGTGTATATATATTTTGTAAGGGGGACAGGCTCATCTGATAGTGGCAGCTGTAACCTTGCACAAGAAAAAGGACACTCAGGAACAGTTTGTCCAGCACTTTTATTCAGCAAGGCAATAAACAAACACAGTTCATAGCATGAGGGCTTTGTACAGCAAGTCCATAGCATAAAACAAACAAAACTGATCCAAGCCATCAGCTAAACCTTTGCCAGTTCCTAATAGGGTACCCCTTAGTATCCACCCAACACAAACAGCACATGTACTGTATCTTTCTCTCCATAAGATACACCTGACCATAAGATGCACCTGACCATAAGATGCACCTGACCATAAGATGCACCTAAATAAAAAAAAAAAAAAAATTCTGAACCAATGGACTGCAGACATAGTACAGGAAATGACCAGAGACAACGTACATAGTACAGGAGATGACCAGAGACTGCGGACATAGTACAGGGGATGACCAGAGACTGCAGACATAGTACAAGAGATGACTAGAGACTGCGGACATTGTACAGGAGATGACCAGAGACTGCGGACATAGTACAGGAGATGACCAGAGACTGCAGACATAGTACAGGAGATAACCAGAGACTGCGGACATAGTACAGGGGATGACCAGAGACTGCAGACATAGTACAGGAGATGACTAGAGACTGCGGACATTGTACAGGAGATGACCAGAGACTGCGGACATAGTACAGGGATGACCAGAGACTGCAGACATAGTACAGGAGATGACTAGAGACTGCGGACATTGTACAGGAGATAACCAGAGACTGCGGACATAGTACAGGAGATGACCAGAGACTGCGGACACAGTACAGGAGATGACCAGAGACTGCAGACACAGTACAGGAGATGACCAGAGACTGCGGACACAGTACAGGAGATGACCAGAGACTGCAGACCTAGTACAGGAGATGACCAGAGACTGCAGACATACTACAGGAGATGACCAGAGACTGCGGACATAGTACAGGAGATGACCAGAGACTGCGGACATAGTACAGTACAGGAGATGGCCAGAGACTGCAGACATAGTACAAGAGATGACCAGAGACTGCGGACATTGTACAGGAGATGACCAGAGACTGCGGACATAGTACAGGAGATGACCAGAGACTGCGGACATAGTACAGGGGATGACCAGAGACTGAAACACAGTACAGGAGATGACCAGAGACTGCGGACATTGTACAGGAGATGACCAGAGACTGCGGACATAGTACAGGAGATAACCAGACACTGCGGACACAGTACAGGAGATGACAAGAGACTGCGGACATAGTACAGATGACCAGTGACTGCGGACCTTTGGGGAGCAGGTACCCGAATTTGACAGGTACCCGCTCCCACTTTCGCAGAGTTGTCCTTCCACCTCCCTCCCCGTGGTCTTCTGGGACAGGTGACAGGTTCTACAAGACTATGGGCCGTTCACAAAGCGCAGCTGTTCTTGCGCATGCGCAGTGGGCACCCAGCTGTGAAGCCACAAGCTGTCACAGCCGGATGCCCACACTGGAGTTGCCGGCGCCGGGGAGAGAAGACGGCCAATGGAAGCAGGACACCGCTAGACCAAGGAACAGGTAGGATGGAGGAGCGGGTTCTTCTTCACAGTAGAGAGCTGAGCGGCCGGCCCGGTATTCTAACACAGCGGAAGCGGAGGGAATACCGAGCCAGCCGCTTCATTATTTGCTCCATAAGACACACAGACATGTTCCCCTATTTTTTTTTGGGGGGGGAAGTGTGTCTTATGGAACGAAAAATACGGTACTTTTTTTAGTGTTCTGTCTGTCTTTTTTGGATCCACCCAACAGAAAGTGGTTATAGCTGAGAGAAAGAAATCCATTGAGCTAAAGTCGGCTCATATCTATAAAGACTTTTGCAAAGCCGACTAATTAGTGATGTCTGGCTAACAGGTAAATCATGAACCCTAAAGCTGGCCATACATGTATAGATTTTTGTTTTGAGAATGTTCATTTCAAGAATATTCATTTGAATTTCTAATTGTTAGTGGGGTCAAATCGATGTTTGTTTTTGACCGCAGTGCCGGGGAAATTCAAAGGGGCAGGAAGGAAAACTTTTCTAGATCAAACAGCATTTCGCCCAGTATATGTGGTTACCGTTCAGAAATTACATTCATTTTAAACTGGAATGTTAAAAGCAAAAGGCAATTTTCGAATGATATTTGTTCATTCACCGAAAATTCAAAGAATTTTCGTACAAATATTCTCATCTGAAAATCTACACGTGTATGGCCAGCTTAAGACTTAAAGCCCAACTCCAGGCAGTACAAAAAAACTACCCTGCCTATAGTGTCTTAAGGAAGGATCAAACACACAAGGAAGGCACCTGCAAGAGTAAGGAATGAGTTAAGTATTTGGTAATTACAGCTGATGAGCTTTAGGGCTTTATCCCACCCAATAATATACAATGCCTCCCAGACAAAATCTGATAAAACATTCTATATCAAAAATGTAATCCAAAATTCATATATATTAAAGTGGTTGAAAAGGCTGAAGGATTTTTACCTTCATGCATTCTATGCATAAAGGTAAAACATGTCTGTGCAGCAGCTCCCCTAATACTCTCCGGAGACTTGGGAGCCTTGGTAGTCCTGGGTCTCCCTCTCCTCATTGTCTGAGACAGCAGCAAGAGCCATTGACTCCCAATGCTGTCAATCACAGTCAGTGAGCCAATGAGGAGGGAGTGGGGGGCAGGGCTGAGCTGAGATGGGCTCTATGTACAGTATCTGCTTGCTATTGGGGGCACTGGTCAAGGGGGATGATCCAGGAGCACCGGCGGGAGATCTGAGAAGAAGAGGATAGGGGCTGCTCTGTGCAAAACCATTGCACAGAGTAAGTATGACAAGTTTGTTTTTTGATTTTTTTTTGTTTTAATATCACTTTAGGTGCTCATAAACTGCAATAGATAACCATGCAAAATAATGGTTAAAGTGCAACGTGCAGTCCATACACAGAGAAATAAAGAAAGAAAGTCCCAAATTAACCAAGGTGTGCAACAAAATTCTGTGATGATGAATTCCACAAGGAAAATCTTGTAATAATGTATATGAATTTTGTATTATATTTATGATATAGAGGTTGATGAATTAGGTAAAAATTGTATGTACTCTTGGATTTAAAGAGACAGTGCAGTGCTTGCACATTACACTTTTTTAGTATTGAATTTTGCTCTAATTTGATGGATTGATTGTTTATGCATTTATTTTTGATACCTTGCACTTTGGGATTTAAGGAGAAAGCACGCTTACTGTATTTCCAGACCATTTTTTATGTATTGAGTATTCCAATATTGAGTTACAGCATATATACTGTATGTATACGAGGTGTGACAATATAATTCCCAGAATGTTCGCAGCCTAGCACTCTGATGGTGAGTCACACTTGGGTGTCAAATAACATTTCAAAACAATAAGGAGGGAAAGTTGTTCTCTCATTCCCCAGTCTGTGCTAACGTGCTTTGATTTTTAAAGCCCTACTGAACCTAAAAAACCAAAAAAGTACATATATATATATATATATATATATATATATATATATATATCATCTGTCCTTTAGATGTGGGAGCTGTATTATTTCACTTTTTTCAAGATTTTCTTCCTTTATTTTCACCAAATAATCCTGTGAATATTATTGCTCCTGTTCCTGGATGGTTACTCTCACTCTATTGTATCAGTGGGGTGCCAAAGTTGTCACCATTGGACATAACTAAGAAAATGTCTCCATTATATAGTGGGGGATCTTAGTTTACAATTGACAGTTTGAAAGGAAAATAACATCATAGATATAGGTCAGTTCAACTATAGGGGTTATTTACTAAAACTGCATGGTGCAAAATCTGATGCAGCTCTGCACAGAAACCAATCAGGTTTTATTGTCAAAGCTTAATTGAACAATCTGAAGTTAGAAGCTGATTGGCTACCCTACACAGCTGTACCAGAATTTGACTGCACCAGTTTTAGTAAATCTCCTATATCTAAGAACTGGTAATAATAAATATTTGTTCCTGTGTTTCTTTATTCTTTAATTGTAACTAACTTATTACTGAATTATATGTTTGCTTAGAACTTTCTTTTAAGTAATGGCATCCAATATGATCATTAAAAAAGTTCTAAAAACAATGACACAAAAAGAATTTGTGTCATTGTTCTACATGTGCAACATGTATTTTAAAATTGACATGTCCCTATGCAGTCTTAAACGCACTGAGTGGTGTTGATTACAAGTGTCTGATATTAGCAAAAATTTGGATATGTACACTACTTGAATTTAAAAATACATTTAATGATTTCCAATAAATACATAGCTGTAATATTTGGTGTATTTTAACGTTCAACTTCAAAAAGGAAACCTATGCTAAGAGAAACATATACAGGTGAAACTCGAAAAATTAGAATATCGTGCAAAAGTTAATTTATTTCAGTAATGCAACTTAAAAGGTGAAACTAATATATGAGATAGACTCATTACATGCAAAGCAAGATAGTTCAAGCCATGATTTGTCATAATTGTGATGATTATGGCTTACAGCTCATGAAAACCCCAAATCCACAATCTCAGAAAATTAGAATATTGTGAAAAGGTGCAATATTCTAGGTTTAAAGTGTCCCACTCTAATCAGCTAACTAAACAATAACACCTGCAAAGGGTTCTTGAGCCTTTAAATGGTCTCTCAGTCTTGTTCCGTAGGAATCACAATCATGGGAAAGACTGCTGACCTGACAGTTGTGCAGAAAACCATCATTGACACCCTCCATAAGGAGGGAAAGCCTCAAAAGGTAATTGCAAAAGAAGTTGGATGTTCCCAAAGTGCTGTATCAATGCACATTAATAGAAAGTTATGTGGAAGGGAAAAGTGTGGAAGAAAAAGGTGCACAAGCAGCAGGGATAACCGCAGCCTGGAGAGGATTGTCAGGAAAAGGACATTCAAAAGTGTTGGGGACTTTCACAAGGAGTGGACTGAGGCTGGAGCCAGTGCATCAAGAGCCACCACACACAGACGGATCCTGGACATGGGCTTCAAATGTCGTATTCCTCTTGTCAAGCCGCTCCTGAACAACAAACAACTCAGAAGCGTCTTACCTTGGCTAAATAAAAACAGACCTGGTCTGTTGCTCAGTGGTCCAAATTCCTCTTTTCTGATGAGAGCAACTTTGACATCCATTTGGAAACCAAGGATCCAGAGTATGGAGGAAGAATGGAGAGGCACACACTGCAAGATGCTTGAAGTCCAGTGTGAGGTTTCCACAGTATGTGTTGATTTGGGGAGCCATGTCATCTGCTGGTGTTGGTCCACTGAGCTTCATTAGGTCCAGGGACAACGCAGCCATCTACCAGGAGATTTTGGAGCACTTCATGTTTCCTTCTGCAGATGAGCTTTATGGGGATGTGGACTTCATTTTCCAGCAGGACTTAGCACCTGCCCACACTGCCAAAAGCACCAAAACCTGGTTCAATGACCATGGCATTACTGTGCTTGATTGGCCAGCAAACTCGCCTGACCTGAACCCCATAGAGAATCTATGGGGCATTGCAAAAAGAAAGATGAGAGACATGAGACTGAACAATGCAGTAGAGCTGAAGGCCGCTATTGAAGCATCCTGGTCTTCCATAACACCTCAGCAGTGCCACAGGCTGATAGCTTCCATGCCCACGCCGCATTGGGGCAGTAATTGCTGCAAAAGGGGCCCAAACCAAGTACTAAGTACCTATGCATGCTTATACTTTTCAGAGGTCCGATATTGTTCTATGTACAATCCTTGTTTTATTGATTCCATGTAATATTCTAATTTTCTGAGATTGTGGATTTGGGGTTTTCATGAGCTGTAAGCCATAATCATCACAATTATGACAAACCACGGCTTGAACTATCTTGCTATGCATGTAATGAGTCTATCTCATATATTAGTTTCACCTTTTAAGTTGCATTACTGAAATAAATGAACTTTTGCATGGTATTCTAATTTTTCGAGTTTCACCTATAGACCGTTGTTACTAAGCTGACTATTACTGATTTTGCTGCTATACTAATCTAATGACTTCATTTCTTCCTGAGACACCTTGAATAGGCATGCAGAAGAATTATGAGTTAATATAGGGACTGCCTGTGCATTCTGAAAATGTTAGTTGTTTGGATGCCTGTCAATGGAATAAGATATTTTAACCACTTGCCCTCCAGAAGATTTACCCCCCTTCCTAACCAGGCCATTTTTTGCGATACAGCACTGCGTTACTTTAAGTGACAATTGCACGGTCATTCACCGCTGTACATAAATGTATG